AAACAGTAAAGTTTTTTAAATCTTTATGGTGTCTCCATCTAAAAAAAAAATAGCAACCAAAAAATACATTCTTCTGGAAACCGTTTCACTTTCATCTGAAACGTCTTTTTCTTTCAACAAAAACAATTGAAATATTCAAAATTTGCAATTTCAGTAGATCGCTCTTTATATGGATTAGATTCAATGAATTTACTACTTAATTACATCGTATTTATATATCATGAATTAAAATAATATAATATAAAAGTAACCTAAAAATTAAAATAGGGTTGATCATGCATTTAGTAAACTTAGAAAATTGTTGTCAATTCTATGAGCTTATTCAATATGTTAAGAGTAAAAAATTTTAACCTCTTATAACTTTCTATTGTAAAACATTATGCACTTATTACAGGCACGTGATAAAAAACAACATGATGTAACAAACATATAAAAAATTAACACATTAAATAAGTATTTTACATTAAAATGTATATTAACGTTGTAAGCATATTAAATATTCTCATTTTATTTTTATAGGATTATTATATTTCATAAAGGTTGTGTACACAGTTAGTGATACATGTTATAATTTTTACTACTTTTTTCTAATAAACACTTTCATAAAGGCAAAATTTATAAAACAATTTTTTTTTTGTTTCTACATATTTTATTTATTTATAGATAAAAATTATAATTCTCTTTTACACTCTGTATACTTCATACTCCGTATATTTTAAACTCTGCTCTATAATGTAATTTCTAAATGTCAAAAAAGTTCAGCAAAGATTCATTCTAGTAATTTATTATGTAATGTCAATTTTTATTATGATATATAAATTGATCATGTACCTCACCGTCTTGAGTAACCAAAAAAGTATTTCCTTCATCTATATTATTGCCAATCAATAATTTTATTGTTTTATTGAACATAATATCCACTTCTATCGGATTTTTTTTATCTAAATCGCCAGAACCATTAATATAACCGATGCACGATTGCATTCCAAGCCTTGGATAAAAATAATTACAATTTTTATAAAATATATATTGCTGTGTAAACACAAATAAAAATGATTAATTAGAAAACTAATTAATGTATCTCGTTTCGTGTACAGAACAATATAATGGTAGTCGGAATTTCGCCTTACTTGCAAAGTTGCAGATTGAGCTAAAATAAATTTGAAAAGGACAATGACTATAGCATGCGGAAGAACGTAAAATCTTTAAGAAGTTAGCAAACAGAGATCTAAGATTTTTTAAGTAATCTTATATTTTTGAAATTTTTCAACTGTGATTCGGTTTTTGATTAAGCTTTGTTGACATGTTTTTTGTATGCCTTAAGATCTGACCCACGTAGCACAGCAGCGAATGGAAATCGCTTTCAAAATGCTCTTCAGATCGCACCACCCAAAACTGCTGTCAGTTATGCGGTTAAGTATAGCGGTGCAGTATAGCAGTCGTAGCACATGAATAATTCGGCAGATTTCAAGTCACATTGATCAAAAAATGATTATGTGCATGAAAAGCGCTTTAAAAGCGTTCGCTCTTCAGAAGCGATTCAAAAGGGTTTTTTTAGCGCAGAAACATCGAGGTTTTGTAGACATTATCCCGGGGAAGTTTTATATAAAATTACATACAATTTTATATAATTGTATATAAATGAACATATTTTAAATATAATATTGTATATAATTAT